CCGCGTACGATGCCGGGAAGGCAAGGAGGGAGTCCCAGGCGTCGATCGCGTCGGTCCGCGCCAGTGCGCGCATGACCTCGGCGCACCGCGTGCAGCCGCAGCGGCTGTCTCAGCCGATTGACGATTCCGAGAAGGCGGTCGGCGCTGCGGAATGGTGGAACGCCGGCATGGTGATACTGGGCGAGGTCATGGGCACGGGGGTGCTGGGGCTCGCCGGACATGCCACCGGCCTCGGATACCTCATCGCGTTCCCGGCCATGGTCATCTTTGGCTTCACCTCAACGTGACTCGCGCCCGGCCCGCGGGCCCGGATAGAGAGCCGTTAGCGCCCTCACACGGCCACTTGCCACCTATGCCCCACAGGTACTCGGGCCTGCTCCTCTGCCGATGCAAGGTCGATCTCTTCGCTGGGGAGGGGGTAGGGGGCTACGGAGACCTCGCAACAACGGTCGGCGGCCCAATCTTTGGCGCCTTCACCAAGTTTATGATCGTCATCAACTGGTACTTGCTCATGCCCTACTACCTCGTCGCCTCTGGCGGCTCGCTCTCGGTCGTGGCTCCCGACGCGCCCGTCTGCGGCTACATCTGGACCCTCATGATGGCCATCCTCATCCTCCCGCCGATGCAGTTCACCACTTTGACAGAGGTGTCGCTGCTTTGCGGCGCCTCCACCGCCGCCATCATCATCGTGATCTTCCTCATCATCGTCCAGCTCATGATGGATGGACCCGAAGGGGGCAGCTTTGGCGCAAACTGGGACGCGATCAGCCCCGACATCACGCCCCTTGGATTCTTTGGATCGCTCTCCTCATTTGTCTTTGCCTACCAGGGCCAAGACATCTTTTGCGAGATTATCTCCGAGATGCGGGAGGAGAAGGACGCACCCAAGGCGATCGGCATGTCGTACGGCCTCATGACGTTCGTCTACAGCATCACGACGGTCCTCGCCTACGGAATGAAGGGCAGGGACGTGCAGGGCTTCCTTCCGGACGCGATCACGGGCGGCGGCCTCACGCAGTTCGTCGGCGTGCTTCTCTTCTTCCACATCCTCACCGCCTACCTCTGCATCGGTATCCCCTTCCTCAACGTGATGCACGCCAAATTCTCCGCCTGCGGCTGCTTTGGGGCCATCCACGAGGGCTCCGTCGGCGCCCGCGTCGCTTGGTTCATCATCTCCTTAATCACTGTCGCGACCACCTATTTGCTCGCCGCCGCGTTCCCCTTTTTCGACGCGCTTCAGGTGCTGCTCGGCGCCCTCGCGGGCGCCCCGATCGTCTTTGGCTGGCCGGCCATGTTCTACCTCCTCGGCTGCAGGATGAAGGGCGTGGCGGTTGGCTGCTTTGACCTGATCATGTGCATCATTTACTTTGCCTGCACGCTCCTCTTTGGCATCCTTGGGACGATGGACGCGGTCGGATACGTGAACGAAATGCTGAACGACCCGAACGTCCATGTCGGATTCGACTGCGTGCTGGGTGGAGACGGCGGCGAGTAGTGGGAGCGCCCGACACTCTGGCCGGCCTGAGGCCGGCCAGAGATGGCCACATCACCACGGGCCGACGTACATCATTGGCGTGCAGCAGGCACAGGGTGCCGCTGCGTTGTGCGGACTCCCCTACTCCTGCCCTCTCTCTCGACGCTGCGTTTCTCCCCGCGCCTACACCCGCACACCCACACGTTCTTTGCGCTTCCCCGTCGTGCGTTTTGGCGCCGCCACATCTTCAGCGCACACAAAACCGTACGTTCTCCGTTTTCGATTTTCAAAATAATGACTCCCTGCTCACTCACACACGGGGGGCACTGGGCCTTGCACTTTGAATGCCGTGGGGCTCCTGCCCGCCTGTCCGGGCGTGGAGATGCGAGGGACGCGCCCCCCCTTGCCCCACCACCTTGTGTGTGTGTGGAGAAGTTTACCTTTACTTACCTTGCCTTAGGTAAGCTTCTCCACAGCTCCTGTGCCTGCCCGTTGGTTCCACGGGCGTGGAGATGCGAGGGTCGCCCCCCCCCCTTGCCGTTGCCCCACCACTTTGTGTGTGTGTGGAGACGTTTCCTTACCTACCTATCTACACGACGAGGCCTGAGGGAGGGTGTAGAGGATGTAGAGTGTAGAGCGCTGTAGAGCTGTAGAGATGTAGAGCGCTCTGGAGCGCTGTAGAGCAATGTAGAGCTGTAGAGCTCTACATCCACCGCGTGACGAACTGCCTCCGTTGTAGAGCGATGTAGAGGCGCTCTACAACGTGAAATCTCTACAACAAACTCTACATCATAAGCGGCGAACGAGGCACGGTCGCTCTCCGACATGAGGCGCGTTGCACTTGCCAGTGCTGCCCTGGCCTTCTGTCTGCCCGCCCAATGGGTGGCAGGTGCCTCTGCTGCTATGGCATGCCTCACGGCTGCGACTGGCCGGCGCCTCGGCGCGTCAGCTCGGCTCGGCGTAGCGATCGTGGCCAGCGCAACTCGCTTGGACTCAACGCTCAGCCAGGAGCTCCCGCACGCGCTGGCGCGAGTCATGGCGCATGCAACGCGTC